AAAAAAATTCGATACAATATCAATATCGACCGGTATTTTCGATACGGTACGATATGTTATCCCTAGACCTGATTGTCACAAATTTACTTTGTACGCCATCTCGCTATCTTTTACTGGACAAGATTAAAATATTTTTTGAAATTATAAGAAGTTGAATTAATATTTGGATATTTTTATTAAAAATAATAACGTATTTTATAAATACTGTTAATGTTCGTATTTGTTAAATAGAAAAAATATACTATTTATTATTGATAAATGTTCTAAATAATACTAGTACACTCCAATCTCCATATCTATTATTATTATTATTATTATTATTATTATTATTATTATTATTATTATATGATATAAAGACAAGGTAACCTCGTCCCTTTGGTTAAGTGTTGTGTTGAGTGTGAGTAGGGCAGTGATGTCGGCTTGTCTTTGTCTTCTAGAAGAGTTTAGGTTTGTAATCATGATATTATATGATGATTGATTATAGCTTTCCTCTTTTTTATTTTTAAAATTTTTTATTATTTTTTTTTAAATCTTACAGTAACCATCTCTCTATCTAACTCATCATTTTAATCCTTCTTTTTACCTTATTTGTATTTTGTGTTCTCAAAACCTTTCCTTCTTAATTTGGATAATAATAATAATACTAATAATAATAATAATAATAGCATTACTACGTAAATACTACTATAAGGTTGGCACATCGCTTTTTGACGGCTGTCAAAGAAATCTCGACTTGGAGTTTGATATTAATATTAATATTACTATTATTACAGTTTGTTTACACTTTACATGCATTGTTTTTGTTTTTTAATTTTTTTAAATAAAAAAAAATGTTAAATAATAAATAATAAATAAAGAAGGGTGGGCCCAGAAGGCAGGCGGGCCCAAAGAACGATAAACCCTCCCGGCCCACCGCCACCAGCAGTTTGGTACTTGTTTCCTAACATAAATAATTTATTAATTAATTAAATATCCATGTTCACTCACCATACCCACTATTTGTCTTCACTAGTATTGTTATTATTACACATCTTTCCATGGATTTAATTTATATTTATCTATCTATTAATGTATAAATAAAATAATAATATAATTTGTTTGTTCGTTCTTGTTGTTGTTACTATTAATATTATTGAATTTAATAAACGGACATCATATCATATCATATCATATTATTAATCCATTGAAGGTACAATGTTTGTTAGGATAAACAAATTTTTTAAACTACGGTAGATGTATATATTGAATTAATAAAAGTATTTCAATTGTTAATTTTATAGCTAAGAATGTGAACAAATAATGTATTGTGGACTTACTAATACCATCTCTATTCCAATGAATTATTGGTCATACTTTGATGAATTCTAAATATTTGTTAATATATACACACACATATAAAGGTGTGTTCTTAAACTTCACCAAATTTCTACTATCAATCAAAAAAAATTTCCAGAAAATATTATATCAAAGATCTATTTTTTATTTTCCATACTTTATTAAAAATAAAAATAATTTTATATTCAAAATATCATATCATAAAATTATTCTTAATTAAAAAATCTTACTATTCAAATTTCAAACCAAAATTCAAAGACACCTAACTGCATTTGTTTCATCTTTGATTTTATACAGACGTGAGAAATTTTTTGAGTGAATTTATTGCATAATTCATATGTTAGTCAAAATAGTATACTAAATCTTTATATTTTGTTTATGTGCATATTGTTAAAATATATTTAGAAATATATTATATATATATGTGATATTTGTTTTGTTAAAGATATTTATAGAATTTTTAATTTATTTAAACGGTGACAGGTAAATCATTATAAATATATGCAATGAAAGAAAGAGTTTTAGTTTTATATTCAAAATTTTCAACACACATTATACAATAACATTTACATAAAATATTAAATGTATTTATGTTAGAATACAATAATTATATATATGTATGTATAGTACCAAATTATATAAAATATGTGTACAAAATTGATAAATTATAAATATATCAAACTAATATATATATATTAGTAGGCCTAACACTGACTTTAAAGTCCAGTGGGTATACGAAACTAACTGGGCTGAATATAGGCCCAATTACGCGAATATGCACGGAAGGCCCAATGAATACATTTGAAGCACCAAAATATTGGTTTGAAGGATTGTATAATTTTGTTTGATTTAAAAATTTGATATTTGTCATTTTTTTAATTTGAATACATATTCGATTCAATTATTAATGATATACAAATGTGAAATGTTAACATTAATGTATTACTTTGTTTTGACTCACACGCAAGTCAACCACGATGACCAAAGTGTGTGTGTGTGTCGCGTGGTAATGGAATTGTGAAGCATTAAAAAAGTCGAAAGAAATATAATGGTTCAAATGAAGTTATTCTTAGGTGGTCTCAATGTTTGAAGCACGAATAGCAGTACAGAAAACAATAATAATAGTAGTAATAAAAAGAGTGGGGTATGGGTAAAAGTCATAAAAATAGATACGACTCGAAAATTCGATCAAAATTCGACACGAAAAAATCACGTTTGAATCTAAAAAATAGGCTAGGGCCGACCCAACAGTCCAGCATGGTTTGAAGTACCGTGCTCGAGCCTGAGTTCCCAGGGCCGCGCCGTAAATCGGGCTGGCCCGGTGCAAAAAAAAAAAAAAGACCAGCCCGAAATTACCACCCATAGGCGTTTTAGTGGAAGTTGTGAGATCACAATGTTAGTTTAAAAGGTGCGGTGTGGTGCGTTGTGATGTATGACGCGTGCCTAATTAATTAATTAGATAGATGTATTAAAAATTAAAAAGATATTTATTTAAATGATAAGATAGTTGGTTAATGATTAATGCATCGATATTATAAGTTAATTTAATAAGTGTTTTGAAAATAAACTATATATATAAATGAATAAAGTGGATTATATTGTTTTAGTTAAATATGTTTGATTGTGGTTTGATTTTTTATTTTTATTTTTCAAATTTTTTAATTTTCTTGTATTATATCATTTGTAATATTTTTATTTTAACATTTTTTTAAAAAAAATTAATAGAATTTATTTGCGGATCCAGTGATGATCCAATCAAATTAGTATGGTATTGATGCTAATTTGATCGGGTCAACATAACAATAATATATATCATATAATATCATAGTATATTTATAATATAATACATGTTATGTTATAATTAATATTTATATCATATAACACAATATATAATAATAATTTTATTGAGTAGCACCTAATTCGCGCCCCAATTAATAATATCACATTTTCATCTCTTTTATAATTAATTGTACGTATATATATATACTCCCTCCGTCCCATGTAATATGAGTGTATTACGGTAGACACGAGAATTTAGGTAAAGTATAATTAGTAAGTAATTAAGAAGTGTATTAGTAAAAATAATTATAGATTAAGATTAAGATAACTAAATAGTTAAATCAAAATTAAGAAAATTATAAAATTTAAAATGTGATTAAAGTGTATAATTATATTTTCAAAAATAGAAAGGACAAGTTATGTGGGACGGACGAAAATAAAAAATAGAGACAAATTATGTGGGACAGAGAGAGTATATATATATTCAATATTCGATTATTTATTTTAATAAAATTAATCACGTGTCTATATATATTATATTATATACGATTTTATTATTCACAAGATAACATTCATATTAAAGGCATTTTATTATAATATATATATACAGAGGCGGAACCAGACGGAACCAGACCGGGATGAGAGGAGGGGCTAATTTTTTAAATTTCGAAACAATCATCATTTATTTGTTATTCAATAATTTTATCAATGAAATTATCATATTTCGAAAATCTTGCAAAATATCAATTTGCAGTGACAACTACATATTATCGGATGAATTTTGTATTATATGAAATTGATAAATAGTAAAAACATTTATTAAAAAAAATAGCTCTTAAAAATATCATCTCCTATGTATTTGGTTGAGAATTTTTTGAATTTTTTTTTGAATTATTGTTTATTACTTTTTTGTTTATATCTATTTTTATAGTATCAAACAAGTATTATGATATAATTTTTTTTTTATTATTCAAAATTTAAATTTTTACATAAATACTCTATCAATTTTTAGCTATTTTTTATAATTTTTTTATTATTTTTATATTATATATTATAAAATAAATAAAAAAAATTAAAAATTAAAAGGGGCGGAGGAGGGCTGGAGCCCCTTGCCCCCACGTACATCCGCCTCTGTGTGTATATATATACATATATATTATATCACTTTTACACGTATTTGAAATTTGTCTCTTTATCAAGCATATGTTATACATTATAGTATCGTCCCAAATAATATTTCATTGTAAATTACAAAATTAACTTTCAAATTTAATTTTAAACAAACCTTTATCTGTTCTAAAGTTCTTCTTTTCCATATTTTGTTTCAATCTTTTATCCTTACACATATACATATAACATAATTAAGTGAATGCAAATTTTGTGTCAAGATACCATTTTTTATTTTTTATTGGTTACATATCTCCTAGACTTCCTACTCATAATTAGAGTTGGAAGAAGCAATCAGTTGTCACATTGTCATGATTTGAGGTTGAGCTTGTAGAAATTGTATCATGCATGACAATTGACAAGTAGTTTGGTTGTAAAAAAATCCACTTCACGTGAAAATTAGTGTTGAAATATTAAAGGACAACAAATTAATATGTAAACGAACTTAATTGTTCATAAATCACAAAAATCATATTGCCAGTATATCACTTCATTTGAGAATACTTTTTAGGAGAAGAAAATTAAGATCAAACAAATAATCAAACTATATAGAGTGGTGAGCAAACATCATGCAATTTTTATGTGAGCTGAGCTATTTCAATTTTCTATACGTTAATGTTTAAACTCAACATATATATATATATATCTTTTTTTTAAAAAAAATAGCTCAATATATATATATATATATCTTTTAACTCAATTTTTTAATAGTCTATATAGTATTAAAAGTATTAATATATTACAAAAATTTATTATTTTTATATTATCACAAAAAAAAATAAAAAAAATAGTACCTCAAATTATCTCAAAAAATAAACACGCCCTAGATATTAAAATAATATGACCCAAGTTGAAGAACATCGTAGCCAAGTGGTGGTAGTGGTGGTGGTGGTGTAGGCTTAATGCACTGAGCCATCGATCTTCAATTGTCACTCACCCCAGACATGAGGGGACTCCTCCCACACCCCTCAAGTCACCCAGCATCATCATTCATAGAATTAACCAATGTGCATGCAGTATTGCTCTAATTCGCTTGATCCCATTAATATCCATCCTCCATTAAAGCAGATCTACATAGATTTAATTAATTTATGTATTAAAAGAATGTAGTGGTGCTACTTGCAGCTATCATCTTATTCTGGTGCTGCTGCATGAACACCCACCCACCTTCCTATTTTATAAATATTCAACACTACTGTATTGTCACCATTTTGGGTTCTTTCAACTTATCAATGAATTCAAGAATATACTCCCATCCATAAGAGTACACTAGTACTACATACTCTTCTTAATTTATATAATTAACTAAATAATTTATACACGTATATACAAACCCTAATCCCTCCAACGTTTTTCACTGCTTCTACGGCGGCTTCTAAAAAATCAATAGACCAATTATATTCAAAGCCATAATCCAATCTTATCTTTCTTTCCTATCTCCCTCCCTATATAACTCATCATTGCTGTGCCCTTTTGGATCATCATATCATTTCCTGATCGACTTCATTAATAATTAACTAATTAGCTTTCAAGTTCAATTAATCTTACTATATTGTACCTCTTCTTCTTCAATTCTACCTGTCATTCTCCTCCGAATTTTCAAATCATGCTGCCCAGAAGCCGGACACTCCCTTCTAGAATCTACAACGGTCATGTATGTAGTAATCCTTGTGTTGTATATATATATATATATATGTGTGTGTGTATGCATCTCCTTCATTATATATGTATACTGTTTTTCTGTGTTGGTTTCAGGTTGAAGAAAGGCAAGATATCAGGCATTATCTGCAGGTGGAGGCACAGCCCAAACCTGAAAATGCTGACACTGCCGATCAACCTATCAACCCCCTTCAAGCAAACTACTCCAAGTGCTTCGATGACGACGGCAAACTCAAAAGAACAGGTAATTAACTAACTAACTTCCCTAAAGTGAAGAGGACGATTGGTTACCTATTTTGAGCTGTGCAGGAACTTTGTGGACTGCAACATCACATATCATCACTGCTGTGATCGGTTCCGGCGTGCTGTCGTTGGCATGGGCCGTTGCGCAGCTCGGCTGGGTTGCTGGTCCTTTGGCCATGGCCCTCTTCGCTTTCGTCAATCTCTACACCTCAAATCTCCTCTCCCTCTGTTACAGATCAGGGGACTCAGTAACTGGATCAAGAAATTACACATACATGGATGCTGTCAAGAAAAATTTAGGTCAGAAATCAAGATTCATTTGGTTTGTCTATGTATGTATGGTTTACTGATTTTCATTCTCGATGATCAGGCGGCCGGAAGGTGAAGCTATGTGGTCTGATTCAGTACCTCAATTTGTTCGGCATAGCCATCGGCTACACCATTGCTGCCTCTGTCAGCATGCTGTAAGCTCAGACTGATCAGTTATGGCGGAATTGAAGGATTATATAAATATTGATGGCTGAATTATCTTACAGTGCAGTAAAACGATCAAACTGCTTCCACAAGACACACAAGAAGAGCAAATGTCATATGTCTAGCAACGGAGATATGATAACGTTTGGAATCATTGAGATTCTCTTCTCTCAAATTCCAGATTTCGATCAAGTATGGTGGCTTTCCATTGTTGCAGCTGTTATGTCCTTCACCTACTCCACCGTCGGTCTTTCTCTCGGTATCGCCAAAACTGCAGGTAACTTAATTGATTCCCAAATCAAAGCAGCCATGAATGAATTGAACTGAAATCAATGTTAATGCTGTATTGACAGAAAATGGAAGGTTCCAGGGAAGCCTTACCGGAATAAGCATCGGAACAGAGTCGCACGCCGGATTGGTTACTCCGAACCAGAAGCTATGGAGGACCTTACAGGCTCTAGGAGCCATTGCCTTCGCTTACTCTTTCTCCATCATTCTGATAGAAATTCAGGTAAGTTTAGTTTTGAAATAAAACCCTAAATCGAACCATCGATTGGGGAAATTAACGGCGGCGGTTACAACTTACAGGATACAGTGAAATCACCGCCGGCAGAGCACAAAACGATGAAGAAGGCGACGTCGATTAGCATAACAGTGACGACGGTGTTCTACATACTGTGTGGATGTATGGGTTACGCTGCTTTCGGAGACGACGCTCCGAGCAATCTTCTGACAGGATTCGGATTCTACGATCCGTACTGGCTGCTCGACATCGCAAACATTGCGATTGTGGTGCATCTGGTGGGGGCGTACCAGGTGTTCTGTCAGCCATTGTTTGCGTTCGTGGAGAAATGGAGCGCGCAGAGGTGGAGCCGGAGCAGCTTCGTGACGGCGGAGTATGACATAAGCGTTCCCATGGTGTGCGGCGGCGTTTATCGGCTGAATCTGTTCCGTGTGGTTTGGAGGAGTGCGTTCGTGGTGGTGACGACGGTGATTTCGATGCTGCTGCCGTTCTTCAACGACGTGGTGGGGCTGCTTGGGGCTTTGGGATTCTGGCCGCTGACGGTGTATTTTCCGGTGGAGATGTACATTGCGCAGAAGAAGATTGGGCGGTGGACGAGCCGCTGGGTAGGGCTGCAGATCCTGAGCGGGGCTTGTCTGGCGGTGTCGGTGGCAGCGGCGGTGGGGTCGGTGGCGGGGGTGGTGCTTGATCTCAAGACGTATAAGCCCTTCAAAACTAGCTATTGAGGGTGAGTGCCATTGATGATGAATCAAATATATATATGTATGTCTGGAGGATGTGGTGAGTGCAGAGATGGAATAAACTGAGCTACTCATGTGTAGGTTGGTTTCTATGTGTGTGAAACGAGTACGTTGTACGGAGGTGGGTGTGTTTGCAAGTTTAAATTTTGAGCTAGAGATTTTACTAATAAAAATTTTGAATTAGAATTATGGTATAATATAATATAAATATGTATTAAGTATTAAATGTGTTTTAAATAAGAAATTAATTTTAAATTTAATATAAAAAATATTTAATTAATAAAAAATTTTAATAAATAGTAAAAATACGAAATATCTCCGAAAGAACACACGACTTGTTCAACTATCCGGCTAATTCTAACACGGCCGTGTCCGCCACAATGAGATACGGAAGACGAGTGGAGGACCAATATTTGCGTGCGGTTATAGACGAATATTATTATTATTAGTTATCTCAAGCTAATTGTATTACTTAACAACTTATTATTAGTATTATATAATTTACGTCATCTTTTCTTATAATTTTTTTATTTAGAGGGTGTTTCACAGTTTATTCTAGTAGTATTCAATGCCTTTTTCTTTTTCTTTTTTTGGTAATTTTTTTTATTACTTTTTTATATAAAATGGAATTTGGTAAATTATTTTTTTATTGCTTTTTTTTTTATATAAAATGGTAAATTATTTTTTTTATTGCTTTTTTTTATATAAAATGGAATCTGCAGTCAGCTGCACCTGAAAGTGCGCATTGAGTAAATTTTTAATCGAATTTAATATTTTGCAAACTAGACCGACAAGGCACGAACCATATACATAGACTTGTAAGTATCGAATTTGAACCATTGTTTTTCAGTAACAAGTTACAAAATATGGTAAATCTTATCATATCAGGTGGCAATTATAGTGACAACTTGTGAGTGCAAGAAACTTACCAATTAAATATAAATAATTTGATTGCTCATATGTATTATTAAAGGATCAAGATTAAATAAGAATACTATGGTAGTTATATTATGAAATTGTTCTAAGTATATAATTCTTTGCTTCATAGAATGTGTTTTTCTTAAGCAAGATAGCATATAACTTACATATGATTTATAAAAATGCATGAAATTTTATAATTTCAAAAAACTCTGCGTTTAATAATTTAATAGTTATAAAGTTTCTAGTACTTTGGCAGTAAATCATGGTTATTATATGAGATTATTTATGATTATCTGATTTTTATAGTGCAATAAATTCACATATATTAAACAACTTTATTCAATTATCCATAATAAACACATCGTCACATCCTATACAAACAGAGAGGGCAGGGGTGCACATGGGATTGATATTATGGCCCTCAATATTAAATTCATCCACAATATATTTGAGAATAATTTCTATTAAAAGTAAATGTCCATATTAAATATATTTTCTAGCCTAACCTTAATACAGAATGTGCGTGTGTCACTCACGGGATCCAATCTAATGAATCCATAATTATTTAAAATTGATTCTACACTTTGTTAATAATTTTTCGACAATAATAATAATAATAATAAAAAAAAAAAAAAGATTGGCATAGGCATATAGCACTATTTGATCATTAAGCAAATTTAATTGAGACAAAGAAGTGATGATGTGCTGTGAACTTTGGCCAGAACCGACAGTAGAACAGGGGAAATTAGGACCATTGTCCTTTTCCAATCAAACAAACAAAATCACAAAGTTGACTCATTAGGACATTTGCTATCACACAATTGTTATTTATCAACCTAACTATAATTATTGTCGATCCAATCCCATATAAGTAAAAATGTAAAAACATCTCCAAAGGTGAAAAGTAAAAGAGTGTGCTTTAAGTGATTTCTTTTGCACCCTTTCTACACAACCCCTTTTATTTAAAAAACAAAAACAAATAAATAAATGAAAAAGGTAGCACAAAAGACAAGTCACCTAATGCATAAAGAGAATGGCAAATTAAAGCAGGCAGCAGCAGATGAAACTAACACTTTTAATCTTATTTAATGGTGGCAAAACAGCATAAACAGCCACCCCATACTGCATAATCAACAAGTGGAGATTATTAAATTAAACTACAGTTGTTAAATTCCAAACCAAGATTTGACAAAAAAAAGGCTATTCATGAAAGATGCTCACATTATCTTATGATGAAGAAAGAGGTCTGGATTGATTAATCATCAATTATTTGAGCACTCGATCCTTGATGATATCAAACCCCATCTCTGTTGGATCCGTTGCTTGCAACTCATAGTGAATCCCATCCAATGCTCTCCTCAATCCATCCTTCGACGTTGCGTACAGAATTTTCTCCCGGATTCTTGATCCTGTCGGCGCCCTGACAGAGAACAAATGTTGATTCATATGAAATGATATGATCTGATCATTCTAAGGTTCAATCTTAATGATCTGATTTGTTGATTGAGAGGAAGAATTGGCAAACCAGGCTATGAAGAAGATCTTGCTCTTCCGGCAATTGTCGATGGTGACAAAGTCAAAATCGAAGACAGCGTAACGGCAGTCGTCCTGCGGTAAGGCTGCAGCGAGATCATTGTAGCCTTCTCCGGCTGCGCCAACCTTGTCGACCGTGAATAGCTTGGAGCCCTCATCAATCTTGAACACTATGTACCTGTGGACCTTCTTCCACTTCATCTCCATGAATGAGGTCTTGCATTCCTCAGTCACCCACATACCTGTCGTCGCCTTTTTCAGACACGAGTCAAGAGTCAATCTCAAAAATACACATCATGCTGTACTAGTACAAGAAAAAATTGACGAGTGTGGAACCTTACCATCTTGAAAGCCATAGCCATGGTTGCCAATTTCTATTGCAAGCCAGGAGTTCTTCTAAAATAAGAGTTTATATAGCATATACAGATAAAGAAATACCACCGATGTTGGGTATTATTACAAAAGTGACCTTATAAGTGGACCCAAAAGAAGCCCTCGAAATACAGAGTGATTTTAGTTTTACATGCCCAAGACCATACAGATTCAAGATAAATCTGCTCCAATGCTTTATTCAACTTGTTTATAGCAGAATGGTCCCATCTGGATTCATCTAAGCTCTCAGTATAGTATATCATTCTTGGAGCCGCTCAATAAATAGTCTTAGAGTGGAAGCAAAGAGAGGGAAGAGTTTACCCAGTCGATCTTTTTTACACAAAGTTATTCACCTATAAAATTTGGAATCCCAAGCTGAAGCAGCTTAGTTGACCTTACAAGTGGTTAGTGGTCCATGAACTGAAGGCAACAGCATCACATAATATATATATATATATATATATATAAGGAGGCTGCAGGTAGAATAGAATTACTATATCAAGATGGAAACATCAAGATGTGATCAGAGAATCATGGAAGATGAGATAACTTACAAATACAAGAGTCTAACAATGTCTGTTAGCCCACATCTGCAAAGGAAGGCTAAAGTAGACAAGAGATCTACCTTATTGTTATTTTATGCATCTCTTCTACATAAATCTAATCTGCAAAAACCTTATTAAGATATCTGCTATTCGTTACACTAGAAATCACATGATAATAAACATTCGCAAGGCCACAGCAATGGATATCCTCAACTTTTTCCAACGTAAGTATTCAAATTGATGGGGCACCTTACTAGTTCTAAAAGTAGTGGACTTAATCATATCACTAAATAGTGTGAAAGGAATGCCACTGCCTATTTCGGCATCTTTCCTTCAGCACCTATCGTTTGTGTCCATTAGAAACTGCCCTAAGTGTTCATTGCCGAATTTCGAATGTGTAGAGTGTCGGAAACCACAACCGTCTCAAATTATGGTTGTAATTAGGCACAGGGATCAATCAATACACAACAGAAGAAAGCAAAACACACATGTCAACTTTCTACCTTACACCGACATAAAAGGCAAGCACATACATAATAACTCACCAAATTTGATTAGCTATTTCAAACTGTAAGGAAAGCAAATGTTATTATACACTCACCCAAGCCACGAGCTACTTTCGAGTCGCGAACCCGAAAGGCATCGCCAATCGTCCATATTCACCAGCAAGATCATGATGAACATCACCGATAAATTGACCCAACATCTCAAAATTCACAGCAGCAGATCAATAGTCCGTGCAATCGACTCCTCAAATCTTCACCAAAATCACGGGAAATCATCGAAGGGTGGATCACACGAATTACAGAGAAACCTACAGAGCCGGCCCCCTGATTCTCAGAGTAGTTTCTAATCCACAAGATAACTCATTGGGCCCAATTACCAATGAAGGCCCACCATAATTACTTATGACTTTTGTTAACAGATGGATCGGCCCATTTATAGCCCATTTATTAGAAAAACAATAGAAACCAGCCCACCATCTACACTATTTAACAGTATATTTTTAGGTATTTAAGGTTTATATTTTGGTTTGGGTTTAATAATAATTGAAAAAATAAAGTAAAATAGTATTTGAGGTTATATATAGATGTCTAATTACAATATTTTGAAGTAAATTATTTTGTTATAATATAATCGAATAAAAAAAGTATGTCTTTAATTTAATGATTTTAGAAGAAAATATTTGACGGAATTCAGCATATTAGGGTTTGTTAATTTATTTACTTTCCAAATTAATTATCTTACTACAAAAAAACACCTGGTTTCCATACATATACACGGTTTACAGCAATAAAATATTACATTAAAATATTTTATTAACAGTACAATAGAATTTTTTTTTAAAAAAAAAAATCTCTAAATATTTGCTTTCTAATGGTATTTTTATAATATTATTTAAAATATAAAAATATATTTTATTTAAGTGAAAATTACAATTATAAAAAATATATATTAAAAATATATAAACTAAAATGATAGATAAATACATTAAAAATAAAAAAATATATATATTTCCTTCGTCTTCGACGAATGTATCCATTTGTTTTTATTATACCTTTAAAAGTTATATGTTACTATTTGATGACATTTATGTAATATTATATGAAGGGTGATGGTATTTTTATATTTGAGGGGAAGTATATTTGCTAAAAAAAAAAAAAATCAAATATACTCTCTTCCTTCAAAAATAATTGTCTTATTATTTTTTTATTTCAAAAAGTAAAAATATTTTAGTCTTTTACATTCTATTTGTTGGTGTGCAAACTCAAGTCTCACGTTGAAAGTTACGAAAGAAAATTACACACCTTATAAGTCTCAAGTGAACTTCACTGGTATGAGGCCTTTTGGAAAATATTCAAAAACAAATTCGTGCGGGCTCAGCCCAAAGTGGACAATATTGTTGAGTTGATTCAGTCCCGTAAGTGGTATCGGAGTCCAAAACGGATAATATTTATGAAAATAAGACTATTATTTTCGAACAATACGGAGAAATTTTGATTGGAGAGCATAATTAAAGTAAAGGGATCCATGATCTAATTATATGAAAACAAAATAAAGAAGCAAAGAAAGAGCCAAAACAGGAAAAGACAAGCACCACTGGGCGTTCACCATTAATATTGTTTTATGCAGAATAGTGAGTGACTGAGTGATGGTCGACGCCACATGCATTTTAAAATTAAACTACAACCTAAGTCGTCAAATATATTTTGAGCTGTAAGTTTGTTTCTTTAGTCACCGTTTCTACTATTTAGACTATGTGTTTTTCGATTTTTTTTTTTTTCATAAAATATCTTATCATATATTATTTTAATATCAAATTAAAACTAAAATTTTCTCAAATTTATAGAAAGAAATAGACCAAATTCATTACCAAAAAAATAAAAATATATAAAAATAAATAAAGCATTTGGTTATGTATATTATAATAATGTATTTTTGTCCGGCTCCAAGGGTCTCATTTACTTTTTGCATGTTGATATTTGAATATTAATTATTATATGAAAACGTAATACAAATTAAAACAAATTACAAAAATACTTCTTCAGTATCTCATAATACTATTATAATGATATTTGTGCAAAAAATTGTATAAATATAAATTTTTTTTTAATATTACATATAATAAAGCAAAAAATAAATGAGACATTTATAACCGAATAAAAAAAATATTAATTTACCATGCGCGTTGTACCTTTGCAGAAACAACTTGTAGTACCGTAACGTACCGATTGTTATTGTTGTTGTTGCTATGTAGTGTAGACCGAGATATATCTCAACTTGTATTTCAACTTTTATTATTAAAAAAATAAAAAAAAAATAAAAAAAAAACACAACAACAACAATAACAATTGGTGTGTTTATTTGTAAGATTTTGATTTTGGATTTTAGTTTTGAATAGTAAAATTTTGAGTTGAAATAGTTATTTGATGTGATATAAATACGTATTAATGTGATATTTTAAATATAAAATTAAATTTCAGTGAAATATAATAAATAAAAAATAGGTATTTTGATTTGATATTTTTAGAAAAAATTAATTATTCGAATAATAAAACCATAATCAAAGTTTCTAAGTAAACACACCCAATAAAGTCCGATGGATGATCTGGCGGTGTAGTGATGAATTTCAACAATTTGAAATTCGTGAATTTTGATTAGTTAGCTAAAATGTCAGATTGATGAAGTTAAATTTTTATTTCGATTGTCAAATTTCTTTAAATTTTTCTATTTAAATTATACATTATATATATATATATTCTTATTAAATATTATTTTAATTAAAAAAAATTAAAATAGGAGGAAGGAACGAGGAAGGAATCACGTGACGTCACGTGCGTGTAACTAATTACAGTACTGTACTGTACTACTCGTCGCTCCGATCAGATCCGTATCACATGTGTGTGTGTGTGAGTGAGTAGGTGACAGACAGACAGGCAGACAGACAGCTAATAAAGGCAGTAATAATATTTATATTCATATTATTCGGTACAACGGAAGGTCCGTAGCCCGTATGTGTCTTTGTCTTATCTTTATTTATTTATTTAATTTATTTATCGGTTGTTGCATCATATCATGATGTCGATGTCAATGTCATGTGATAGATGGTGAAGACTACAAATTCAATCTGATAAGCGCACCTTACTCCCTTCTTCTAAACTCTCTCTCCCATCCCATCCTTTTCTTTTTTCATTATTTATCTCTTCATATTTATATATATTTAAATTTTATTATCATTCAAAATTAATCACGACTCCTTTTGAAACATTTCTCATCACTAACAACAATCAATGCATAAACGAAAATAATTATGAATATTCTCACTCAAAATAATTGCATCTCTATTCTTAAAGGGTGTTTTTAAATTTTTGTTTTTATTTTTTTTTATTATTAACTGATTCTTTAAATTATATACTTCCTCAGTCTCGAATTCTTTAAAATTTTATAATAAATTAATAAATAATATTCACTTCGTTCCACCTACTATGTTTTTGTCAAACTACAACAATAAACAAACAAGCTCTCTATCTTTTTGTTAATGTTCATCGAGAATCTTGTTAGCAAAAATTTTTGAGTGAACAAATCATAACTTTTATTACGGAATCATCCGTTCTTTTTTTTCTTTATCAATTAAAAAAATTAAATGAAATATAAAATTAATATATTTTTAATGATTTTTCTATTTTTTAAAAATACGAAATTTAAAATACAATTATTAAAAATATCCTTGATAAAACTTTTCTTGTAATAAAAAATACTTCTAGTTCTGTCCAAAGTAATTTTTTGAATGGTGCAGTATATTAAAAAATAAAAATATTTTATTAATCAGTTAAAATATGTAATAAAATTTTAATATTTTTAATTATTTATATTTTTAAAAATAATTATATATCTAAAAATATATTTATAATTTATAGCAAAGTAATAATATTTTAATATTGATGTGTACTTACTTCTATTATATTTTAAGATAAATATTTCAAAATTAGACATACCAAAATAATAATAATAAAATTCAGATAATACATAAAATACGATAGCACTTCGAAATATTAGACGTTTTAACCATTTATGGTGCCTTTAATTTGCATAAATAGGATATATAATATTATTTTATCTACTCTATTTAGATGTTTACTATTTATTACTCCCTCCGTCACCAGACAAAAAATACGGGTAAAAGACATTTTTGTCATTGTGAGTATATTAGTGTAAAAAATAGTGGCAATTGTGTAATAATAATGAAAAGGTAAGGCTAGTTTTATAGTGATATGGTTATTTATGAAAATGAGACTATTGTTTTGAGACAAACAAAAATAGTAAACAGGACTATTGTATTGGGACGTAAGGGAGTATTATAGTTCGTAATTAAAAAAAGTTCGGCATAATATTAACATAATTGAAAATGATTAATCCTCTCCTTAGTTTTAGGTAGGATTAAATAATAAAAAAGTAATATTAATTATTTATCTATAATTACTATAAATTAATTTTATAAAAAATGTGAATTTAAAAATATAAAAATATATATATTTTTAAGAGATATAGAAACTAACAGATTTTGAGTGGGTACATGGATTAAATTAAGTTTATTTATATTCGTTATGTATATTTTGATATTTAGTAAGTTTTATTTAAAAATAAAAAAATTACAATTCTTATGGAAAGATGAAAATGTAAATGGTATCAGTTGTAATGAGACCGACGTGGTATTATTTTTCAAATATACATATTATTTAATACTTTTGTATGAATGATAAAAATAAAAATAAAAATTAAAGTATACAGAAATCTACATAAAATAACTTTTATTTCAAAAAATAAATTAAAAATCTTAAAAAATATTCATTCCATCACACATTAATTAATTATTTATTTTTTAATTTCGACCCGTTCTATGTAATTTGTACTTTAAAAAAAATGATCAACACTTTAGTTTTATTTTAAGAATTATAATTTATAATTTATTAATTTAATTAGATTATTTGATTATATTAATCTCAATTAATATTTATTTTATTATATAATAATTATTTTTATTTATTAATTATATTTATATATACAGTTTATCTAGGAAAAGCATGGAGCATCTCTGGAGCTAAACGAGCCATAATTATTTGCTTGTCATTTTACTGGCTTTTCTGCTGATTGGGGTACCCAAAAAGTATATGCTGCAATCCTACCTATTTACTCACTCTATTCCATCGAAATTAAATTTTTTTATATTTAAAATAATAATATTTATTTAATTAATAATAATAAATTATGATATTATTACATAATTAATAATATTTATAATTGTAAAGTAAATTTAATATATATGTTTAA